ATAGACCTGGCGGAATTTGTGCCTATAGAACGCCAACGCTGGCAGACCAGGTAGATCGTATTCCTTCTCGATCCCCTCGTCGGAGATCTTCACGAAATCAATGTCCTTCTCCTCGCACTCGTCGTCGATGTTCTCCAGTTCCTGTAGGATTTTCTGGCTCTTCTTGTCACCCTCTTTGTCTGCATCACGAAATCATTCAAGCAGACGACCCTTTTAAACAATCCTTTCAACAAAATAAAAATGCACTCACAGAAGAAGATGACGATGTAATCGTTCTCCTCGAGTATGTTTTCCAACATTTTCCCATTCACTTCCTCGATCTTTCCGGGGATTTCGAGGGTGTCTTCGTCGGTGATCCACGACAATACTTCGTCCTCGTCTTCGATGTCGCCCTTGAAGATCAACGGCTCCTTGTTTCTGAAGAACGCCAACGTGGGGAAGCTCTTGATCCCGTGTTTTTTCGCGAAGCCAGTGTCTTCCGTCGTGACGAAGATGATGCCGGTCTCGTCCAGCTCGTCGTCTATGTTTTCGAGTCCCTCGAGCACTTTGTCGCATTCGTCTCCGTCGTCGCAGTCACCGCCTGATGGACAACGAGAAAGATTTTTATTCACGAGTTTCGTTACCTGGAAGGTGTGTACTTACTGAAAAACGCGACAACGTATTCGTGTTCTTCGATCAGATCGGACAGAATCTCATCGGTGACCTCCTCGATGGTGGCGGTATTCTTCTGCTCGACGAGCCACTCGAGGACCTCGTCCTCGTTCAAGAGATCTCCCTCGTAAATGGCTGGTATCTTGTTCTCGAAGTAGACCAAAGTCGGCAGATGATCTATACCGTACTCCTTCGCCTCGGCATCGTTGTCCATTCGAATGATCACGATACCCTCCTTCTCCAGCTCGTCGTCTATGTTCTCCAGCTCGTTCAGGATCCGTATGTCCTGCTTGTCGTCCTTGTCGTCTACGAAAAGGGATCAATTCGTGTCTCGTTTTTGCTCGCGATCGACCAACAGCACCTACCTAACCGGTAACAGTGGAAGAATGTTAAAAGGAGGTAGAAAGACGAATCGATCGCTTACAAAACAGGACTGCCAAGTACGGTGAGGTCTCAATTAGCTTCTCCATCATCTCGTCCGTCACTTCCGGTATCTCGGTATGCTTCTTCTGATGCAGTAACCAACCCAGCAGCTGATCCTCGTTCATCAGGTCCCCTGCGAATTCAGGACTCTTTTTATTTCCAGTGATCTCGAGCGTCACGACAGATCGTAACCGAGCAAAGTACCTTCGTATATGTGCGGTATTCTTTTCTCGAAGAGCACCAGCGTCGGGAAATTATCGATGCCGTATTCCTTGGCCTCGTCCAGGTCGTTAATCTTCACGAACGCTATGTTATGTTGGTCGCAGTCATCGTCGATGTTCTCCAGTTCGGAGAGGATCTTCTGACTCTTCTTCTGTTCCTTGTCGTCTGTCGAATAAAAGTTAAAACCGATAGATTTCGTCTACAATAATTAAAGGTTTGTAAATAGATCACTGACAGAATAGGACGGCCACGTGTGGCATCTTCTCGATAACCATGTCGAGCATCTCGTCGGTAATGTCCTCGATGTGGTCGCTCTTCTTCTGTTGCTCGAGCCACTTCAGAACCTTCTCCTCGTCTTCTAAATTGCCCTCGTACAAAGTCGGTATACCCTTCTCGAAATAGAGCATGCTGGGAACCTTCTCGATACCGTACTCCTTCGCTTCCTCCGCGTTGTCTATCTTCACGAAGATAACTCCGAGCTGATCGCACTCGTCGTCGATGTTTTCCAATTCATTCAGAATCTTCTGAGACTTCCGATCGTTGTTGTCGTCTACCGGATTTCCATTAAGAGCGTTACCAGAGATCTATAAAGATTAATCGCGAAACAAACGTTCGGTCCACGTCGATAGACTCACAGAACAGCACGGCCAGAGTCTTCCCGTCTTTGATCAGACGATCCAACATTTCGTCGGTGACGTCCTCGATCTCATCCTTCTCCAGTTGCGACAACAACCACTCCAGAATTTCGTCCTCGTTCTCGACGTCCCCTACGATCACAGAATCTAGTTTTATCCTACGCTTTGCATCGACCAGTTCTTCCTGGCTACGATGCTCCAATTATTTTTCTTATAATACGCACGAGAATTTGTATTAATCGTCTACTAAAACGCAGGGAAATTTAGTCAACTACCGTCGTAAACGTTCGGGATCTGCTTCTCGAAGTAGACGATCGCCGGGACTGAATCGATTCCGAAATCCTTTGCCGCCTTCTCGTCGTCGATCTTCACGAACTGTATCCCGTGTTTGTCGCAGTCATCGTCGATCTTCTCCAGCTCGTTCAGTACCTGCATCGAATCCTCGTCACCGTGGTCGTCTGAAGAATTCGCAGAAGAGTCGATCGTAAGTAAAATCGCGGGTGGAACGAAACGATTCGGGTAAAAGTTACTCACAGAATAGAACGACCAAGTTGTCGATGTTCCCTATCAGGGTCTGTAGGGTCTTCGCGGTGACGTCCTCGATCACGTCCTCTTCGTCTCCTGTGCTCTTGTTTGCCACCAGCCATTCCAGCACGTCCTCTTCACGGCTGAGCTCGTCTACGCGAATTTTGAGTAAATTTAACTCGAGAGTTCGTATCGAAAGATCAATCGTCTTGATGCTCACGTTCATAAATGATGGGAATCTGGTGTCTGTAGTAGACCAGAACCGGAAGTGGGCCCAGATTGTACTCGTCCGCTAGCTGTTCGTCCGCGATCTTCACGAAACCGATTCCCAATTGGTCGGCCTCGTCGTCGATATTCTCCAATTCTTGAAGGGCCTTCAGACACTTTTTGCAGTCTGGTTTGTCTATCCCATTTGAAATAAAAAACAGTGTTATCGTTCGGTTCCTTTTCACGACAGATCCGGAAACATCGAGTGTGACATCTTCGGGTAAAATACGGTTAACGTTTAACTCTAGATACTTTTTCCTCTCTGCCTGCTTTCTTTAAGGAAAGCCTTGGCAATTACCTTACTTACAAACGTGCGACAAAATGAAAACTAACAAAAAATGCGAATAATCGTAAAAAATCCTATGATTTTCTTTTTTTTTAACTGCGTTGCCTGTAAACGAAACCGTTCAACTTTCTTTCTAAAAAAAAAGTGAGAAGACACGTCGTATTAGTATGCAAAATTTCTCTCGAGTTACAGTGCACATTCATTCTACTCTAAAGGGGGGGTGGGGGGTGGGGATGCACAATAATGCACATTCTACGATCTACGTCATCATATCTTTCAATGCACACACGACACGGAATTAGTAATCGAATATTTTGTTTCCGACTGAGATTTATCAAACAGTTCGAGACAGTTCAATTACTAATTGAATCGTTAAATGCTTGGTAACACAGTTCATACACATTCCATGAGAATCCATCGCATGTGTAAGATCGACGAAATATTTGAAAGACTCTTCCTTGCTTCCTTGTCACCTTTTCCCCTCTGGATTTTGTATCCCTCTATTATGGTAGATAGAAACAGAGACAACTGCTGCAAGCGATGCAATGTGCTCAGGTGTCAATTAAAAAACAGATACTGGTTCGTTGTTAAACGTGTGTATTGGAAAGGTAAATACGTATATGGAGAACATACAGTCAGAGCACGAACCAGTTTGTTTAAGAGGAATAAAATCTGTCGGCTTAGAATTATCAGCGACTTCTGATCGTAATCGCAAGCAATACGAAATGGAACACAAGACGTTTCTTTTGTCTTTCTCCGACATAATGGTTCGTGCATCGTGGTGTGTGTACAAGCTTTGGAAATGAAAGCCGTATGACATTTAGAACAACCATGTCATTTAAATGTATACTTACTAGAACCGACGCCAGCACACCGCTGCGTATCCGGACCTATCCATACCAACACACACAAGAACGTTTCACATATATGTATTATTTACAAGTATGTTGCAAGTGATCGAATCGCAAAGTGAACGAAGTCGAAGAATCGAAAATTGCAGAAACTTGGACACGAGTCATTTCTCTTGTACGCAATCGTAATTTCAATTGTTCTCCGTTAGTCCCGACTGGTTCCATTTTGCGACGCGTTAATCTTTCACAACGGACAACGACAAATTTTCGCAGACAGTAGGAAAGAGGCGAATACTAACAAAAGGATCGAAGGGATTCGTTGGGAAGTTAAGGAAAATGTTCTATACGACTGATTTTCAATATAAAAACAAATTTCATTTCGTTTACCGAAAGTAAACATGTGAAAATCACCCATATAGATAAAACTGAGTTTTCAGGTTTTGAAATAATAATCTTTTTTCTACTGCGTTAACACGGTGACTGCCATGGTCATGGAGTTATCGAATATTTCTATCTGTCGCGTTATAATTTGAAAAAATGTCGAGGAAAGAAAATTGGGGTGGCAATCAACGTGCTCATTGCTCGTTGTCCGCGTTGTTGGAAACGCCAATGCGAGCTGCTGTGAGTACCAGTGAAAATAAAACCAAAGAAATCGGTATTTAATAAAAATTAGTCGTTGCAGCCAAGATTGCTGCTAGTTCTGTAAAGCCCTGTTAATTTTATGTACAATGACGGTGTTAAGTACCTATTGGCTTTCCACGGAAGACATTAGTAAGACAACAAAATAATAATAATAAAAGATATGCGTACTATGTACACGAATCGAATAAGTAACGTGTCGTATTTCAGTTTTCATCGGTAACGAACAGTGTTCCACCAAACTGGAACACAGAATCTTGGGGATAATCGAATCAATGGATCCCTCGATCTCTTCGATCGGACTGGTTTCACTGTTTTTCATCGAGAAGAGTGTGAATTCAACGAAACGCGATCTAACAGTATAGCTTCTTGTTCATCTTCAAGGCAGATTACGTTGAATGGGTTACAATTTTTACACTTTTCTCGATGTAAGCGAATCTAACTCGGGGTACAGAGACAGAGAGAGAGAGAAACATGTTTGTAATATGCTCGAGACACGAGAGAAAGAACTCACAGAAAAGGACTGCCACGAATTCCGTATCCTCGACGATCTTCTCCAGAATTTTCGAGTTTACCTCTTCGATACGATCGGGCAGATCCATAGCTTCCAGACTCGTCAGGAAGTCTAGCACGTTTTCTTCGTCCATCAAGTCACCTGAAAGTCGCGATCGAAGAACATGTAATAGTTTCATTTTTATATGAACGAATGAAACTATTTGATCGGTCGATAAGTTAGAAAGAGTATTAGGTTACCGTTCTATGGATGGCCATGTATATTCAAAGAGTTAATAATACCCCTAATTGCAATTTCCTGCCTCTTCTGTTTACCATCCCGAGGCGTCTAAAATAGACTTCTATCGCGGTACGTTGCATTCGGTACAATAGAAATAGATACAACCTGTCGTTACATCATCGAAACGAAAATCCACCGAGACGTCTCGGTGAAAGCCAATTCAAGCAAACCGTTTTCGCTTTTCTCGTTTCACCTTGGACCGAACGTCCGATATATTCAGTCCATCGAGTTAATAAATCTCCACGATCCCGTTGCCAAACCCGGGCTTTACTGATCACAATGTAGCGGGATTGATGATCACACCTGTACCTCGGTCTGCTTCCGCCTTGGGTGTCCAAGTGCGTCCAATTTCTGATTTTCCTCGCCTGGACCCGCAAATCGCGAACTTTGAATCTCGATTCTAACGTGGGACTCGTTGCTTGTTTTATTTCTTTTCTCATAATATTACCCCCTTGACATTTTTCTCCCGTTTCAAACTCTCTAAGAACAATAAAACGGACTATTCGTTCGCGTTCGATTCCCCAGCGTTTACGTTGAATCTTTTTTTTAACGATGATCGCCATCATTGATCGAATACAATGCGACGGCGGAGTATTGTGGCAGAATGTTTTCGTTTTCGAGTCGTAGCAAAGCGTCTCTCGATCTAAATGTAGAAAGCTAGACAGCCAGCGGCTCAATGAAACCGTAATGTACAGTAAGCGGCGCATCGTGTTATTACGTAACGCGCATTCCATGTACTCTATTAATTTCTCCTCCTCGTCGACGAGTCACCGACCAACCGAAATTATGTTGCAAGAGTCGGGGCTCTCGTTTCGCGGATCCATACGAAGCGGAAGATCGCGCGTCCAAAGGGTCGGTATGTCGAACAAAATTCGAGCACACGGTTAGCTGCTGTTTTACAGGCTAACCTCACCAAATACCAAAACCTGGGACCTCTGCCAGAGAACGAAGGTGGTCAGACTTTCCGCGCAAACTGCGACTGCTCGAGTCCGTGAAAATTCTTTAGTTACGGCCATAACTGTATCTTTACCGAACAGAATGGTTTCGGATAAACGGGAAAACCGAAATGTCAACACGCCGTGCCTACTTTTACGAACACCTTGTACATTTGTATCGATAACTTCTGTCGATCGTTTCTTTTATTTAGCGACAAAAATCGTTGGTCAACCGTCGCGTTAGAAAGTCTTGCAGAAGTCTCATGTAATAAACAACGATGAATTTGATCAGTGAAAGGGTAAATATGATCCGTAGAAGGGTTAATTCGAAGTGAAAAAAGTGTGAGAGCCAAGACGCGGCGCTGTAAAGAATTGTCTGACCATATCAAGGCTCCTCTACTGGAATCGACAGAATTCCCGAAATCCACGAAAATTCGAGAATACCGGCGATTGTTTCGTCGATTCTGGGTCAAGTACTATACCGCGGCGAGTCTCGAACCTTGTTTCTCATACCTGGCAAGGTTACCGTGATCGCGGCCGGATTCCAATAAAAGTTTGGCGAACTTTCAGCCATTTGGAATCATCGCTATCCGTTGTTGTTCGCCGTACGTGCGAACGCTACGTAAAAATTTAACGGGCGCGAATTTTTCCAACCAAAAGATCCGATTGCATTTCCACCCGAGACGTAAACGTTTGGCGAGCCTAACCTTCGTAAATGATTGGTTCTCTCTCGCGGAAATATGTGAGGGCCGGGAAGGTTTTGATGCCATACTGCTTGGCCAGTCGTTTGTCGTTGATTTTGACGAAGTCGACCCCGAAATGATCCGTGTCGTCGTCGATCTTCTCCAGTTCGGCCAGCACCTTGTCGCATGTCGTACAGCTTCTCGCATCTGGAACAAAAATGGTCGCGTTCAGTGATATTTTAAGCCCCTCTAGCGTTCGTAGCCTCCAGAAGTAGACGACGCTGCCTTGAAGTTTCATTTCGCGTTCGAGAAGCAAAATTCCGTGAGAAATCGTTTGGCCCGTCGGCGGCCTCGATGTTCGATCGGGACTATTATTTTCAGAAGGCGGTTCACGTGGAAATTCTCAGCTCTGTCAGGTTTAAAATTAAAGAGCCGAATGTTTCGCGGTATTAATGCCATCGGAAGCGTTTGGCGAGCGGGAGGTGTCCGGTCTCGCGTTAACGATCAATTCCTCGCGAGCACATCCTTGAAGCCCGGCCTTGCGTTACAGAAGAAGGAAAGCTAATCCTTCTTACGCGAGTTTTACGCTTATCGTTCGTGGCTTGGCAGTTCCGAGCGTTCTTGGCCGGCTCCGCACCGTTCCGCTCGCTGGCGCGGTGGACGACGCGGGTGTTGGGTTACAATCATTGGATATGGACAGCGAGGTGTCTATCGAGTGTTTCTCCACCTAGCTTTCTCGCTGGACGATTTAAAAGCTCCGGTAATTAACGGTGGAATTTTATTAAAATCTTCCCCCCCAGTGATCAGCGAAACCTGACTCGAGCTGAGGAGCACAGAGATCGAACGAAAGGGAGAAGAAATGCTGATGATTCAGGGTGCAAATTTCCTTGCTCGCGAGTTTGGATGCCATCGATTTTTATTTTTCCAATGATTATTTGAGTAGCGAGAAAATCGTTTGTTTTGTATTTTATTTTCGAGTGATTCTTGTTCGTTGGAACGCACCACCAAAGCAATAACATTCGGCAGTGGTCACCCCCGCACGAAGTCTGGCAATGTACGGAGTTCGAGAACGCGAAAGAGAAGGGAGAGCGAGAAAGAGCGAACAGGCGAGTTGTTGAAAAACGTGTGCCATTTAAATTGGACCGATTCCACTGGCTGCATTCGTAATAGAGGAAAGCCGAAAGAAATTCTGCGATAATGATTGCTACCAGTCACGTTTCACAATAGGAACCGATCGAAAATAATCTTTCAACGACTTAACAAGCTTATGGACTTGCGTTCGATCAGCGTTCGCCGTCGTAGATCGACAAAAGTGCAAGCTGGAACCAAATATCAGGCATTTTAACGCGTTAAGCAAGAATGAACATTTCCTGCGACTTTAACTTTTCAAAGAATTAACTGTATATTTATTATTTGTCGAACGGAACAAGAAATGCATTTTTCGTTGCAGCGCATGGAAATAGTTACTAATTTTTCATTGTCCTCGAAAACCACGGTTATCGAAACTCAGCAATATATAGAAGAACTTAGTGGAGCAATAAATTCAATTGTAACTAAATACGGTATACAATATAGTTTGCAATTTTTTTCAGATGGTAAAAAACACTTGTAAAAAGGAGACGATGTTTTTCTTATCGTTATTCAACGGTCCACCTACATAATACCTAAAGATTCAACGGCTGCGAAAACTCTCGAACTGATCTTCCCGGTGAAGCAGAGACTCGCAAACAAATATAAATAGAGCGACACAAAACAATTCTATTTTTATTTCTCATCGTGTCCACCCACCCGTTCCACTCTTAAACGGATCGTCGGATCGGGAGCGAAAAATAAGCGATACCGCTGAAACTCGATTTCACGCTCAGCCTATCAATCGTCGTGAATCATCTGCTTCTTCTTTTCTCTTGAATCTTTAAGGTACTCGAAATAAAAACACTCCTGTATTATAAATATATCGTAAACCGAGATACATTGTAACGTTCGATGGGCTCATCGTTTAAAAATAACTCTTTATTGTACAAAGGATACTTACGACACAGGCCAAACCTGTACATCGTGTGTTTTATAATCGCTTATTATTTGTAAATATTTATCAAGAACGAGGATGTCAAGGATGTCAAGAATGGCATCCGCCTAAATTTCTAACGTTACCGGCTACTGCAGGAAAAAATAAACAATGGGTATTTGGAGCAGAAACGGAATATGTACGTGCCCGATTACCTTATATGTAAAATGTCGCGTTTTACTAATGGCGAAAGATTCGAGATACACGTGTATTTGGCAGAGTTGGGCAAATGTCATTCACGAATAACGAATAGAAAAATGTAGATTTATCGGTAAGGGGAATTGTTAGATGATGGAAATAGGTCCGTGGACGTTGGGTTTGCTTTGAACCACGTAAACTTTCTGATTTCGAATAAATTACGATAATAACGATAGTAAGGTGAGGAGTCGGAGGCCCATTGTACGATGTCTAAGACGGTCCATCGTCTAAAGGTTAAGGGCATGCAAAAGATAATAAAGATCTTCGCGATGGAAGTTGGGTCTCGAGAGGAAATGGTTTGGCACTGCTGTGCAGGTTTGAATGGTCCGCGCGAGAAAATATCCGCTGATATCAGCGCGGACCAAGAATACACGCTGACCGCGATATCTCGGCTACGTTTCGACTGGAGATGTTCGATATAATCGAGGATTCCACGTGCTGTTGCTGTTCGGTGTTTCAAGGTAGCGAGTATCGGGGTACTTAGGTGTGCAGAGCAGTCAGTTGGACGGTGTTTGAGCATCGGGCGGGAGAAACAGAGACGACGAGATCGTACCGACGGCCAGTGCCTAGTTTACGAGCCACTAAAAATACAAGAACGAACGGCCTCGCCGCGACGCCGTCGACGACGACATTTTACTTTCCGGCGTTCTTCACGGACGTCTTCTCGCGAAGGGCGCTCGCGTGATTTCTCGATAGTCGCGTACGACGTACACGCGGAAGTATCTACTCCCAACAACAAATAATAAAGAGAATACAAGTATGCTCGATAAGTTTCGAAGATACGGAGACACGTTTGGACTTGTGGCATTGAACTATGATGGGGCTGTGCTAGCAAGTTCAGCATCGCCATCGAGCGAAGATGCCTCATGATTTCTCTCAAGGTCCTCGAAGATCGACCTTAAGCCTCGTAACTTAACGATGCGAACCACGATTCGGATCTCCGATGATCGTATAAAAAAAAAGAAAAGCATTGACCGTTCAAGGAGACGATTCGAAGAGCGTTGGCGCGATTTCGTTCGATCAGCGCAGCGATCTGGAGTCAATAGTTTTATTTATACCGGAAGAAACATTCGAAGCATATTTTCAGGGTCCCAGACCGCCGCTAAAGATAGCCACTCTCAATCGGCCGTATTTCTTGTCCCGCGTGGTCACGTGACTCTACGATTGTGTAGAGCTTTAAAGCGTGAACCGACGATTGAGGACAACGCGTGGGCGTCCCGAGCTTCCACGCTACGGCTCGAGTCCAGGGTTAAAATTTCAAACTGACATTTCGAAGTACGTCTCGCGTATCTTCGTCCCCGGCAAAGGGAGGAATTTCCATTTATTACAACGGATCCTCGATCGCGAAATAAAAAAACGACTGCGATTTTATTAACTCGATCGAACTCACGGGCCACCCACCTCCGAATAAACAACGTATAATATCGTCTGCTATACGTATGTGTACGCGTATCCGAGCACGGTGAACAGTTGGCAGGGGATCAAGCGTGCTTATCACTGAATTAGCAATTTTCTCATTCTGAGTTTTTCCTGGCAAGCTACTAATTAAATTAAGTCTCGTCGCGCACAGGTGGTCAAGCGTCGTAGACACAACAAGATCGCTTCTCGAACGATGAATCCTCGGCTATTTATCACGCCTGGTATTTCCAACTTTCAAAACCAGTAACAAAATCAAGTACAAAACATTGAGCAACCCTACGGGAACATCGTGAAACAGTATCGATTCTCTGGGATAATCTAAAACAATTGAACGTCTCGGCGTTGGATGCAACATTTGATTAAAAAAATAACTAATGAGAACGAGAGCGATCTTGCAATTCAGAACGGTGTTCTTTAACATTGTTAACCATGTTTCAAAGTGAAGTTCATAGATCGTGTCTAATAATAAGTAACAGCGATCGGAAGATGATTGTCCCGTTTCCACGAGGCGGTGGTAATTGGGCGAAGCGGAAAGACAGGCAGCCTTTGGCTTAATTGATGGGGCGGAAAGAGCTCGCCTTTCGGGAAGCTCCAAACGAGAGAGCGCATCTGGAAATATCTACTCGAGGGCCGACGTCTTCCGGTACGCGTCATAGATCTTTTATAATCGCCCCGTTCGGATCCCTCGTGGGCCAACAGAGCTACGCGGATTCACCGAAAAGACAAAGGACGATAGAGATCGGGCAATTTTTACCCTGAAGACGATGGACAAGTTACAGGTCGCCATAGTTTTCGCCATAGGAAAAAATCATTTTCCCGGCAGTAATATCGCGCGAACGAAAGACGAAGCGAGAAAAAGGTCTGTTCGCGGCGCGAAGAAGACGCGAGGACACGGCGGCTGGAAATAGGTTCGACTGGCGAGCTCGTCGTCCGGGTCTTCACGCGGTTCAGCCATCGGAAGGCTGGTCCAGGCCCCTCGAGGTCGTATTCCCGCCTGATTTTCTCGAAACCAGGAACCCGGTGTCGGAGACCGACGACGTCTACAGGACGATCGTCTCCCGCGAGGGTCGAGAACGACGAGAACGGGAGGCAGAGTGGTCGGGGACGGTATGTTTTCAGGCGAGACGGTAGGCGAGATGCTCGCCGGCAAGCGCTAAAATAACTCGAACGTGTGCTAAAAGCGGCGGCTACCGGAGCGCCGGCCTTGCTAACAGCGCTTTCGAGTATTGCTCTTTCCTGCCGATCGACCAGATCCCGGCTGCCCCGAGATCTTTTCTCGATAAATGCTCGAATAATAAACTCCTTACCAAAGAGGCAAAGATCGAGAGAGGAGGAGGGCAAAGAAAGAGCGAGATTCCGGGTGTCCCTATCGACTGGCGTACTATTTTTACGGGAGCCGCGTGAAAGAGCCACGAAAAGTTATCGCGAGTCCCACCGGTGTATTTTGAGAGTGTTCGTTACGTCATTGCAAGAAGAAGCGAGAAGTGGCGGCCGAGCGTGCACGAGGAACGCGAAACCTCGTTTCTCGAGAAAAAAGATAGCGGGGGAAAATGGATCGGAGCGATTACTCGCGATACGATCCAGAGGTCCTAACCCTAACCCGAACTCGTTTCGCGATCTGACCGGGTTTCTCCGATGCACGGAGGCGTGGGTTATACAATCGTTAACACCACTCTTAACACTTTGCCAACCGCACACTGTTCCTAAACTGTACGCGGCTCTGCTCAACACCAGATTTACGAATTTCGTACCGATCGACCGGGTTATCGAGATCTCGAAGACGATCTCGCGGTGTCGTTGAGGGACGAGATCGTTTCGTGGATCTTGCTGGCAAGGTTGCTCTCGAAATGCTTCGACGACGGGACGTCTTTCGTTCTCGGTGCTCTAACGCATGAGGTGGTTACATCAGACGGTATTATGAAAACGTGATTCAGGGAAGAATCGCGAGAGGAACGCGCGCGGAGGAACAGGTTGTCAAGAGCCCTCGTACGCTCGAGTATTTTAAATTAATCCGAATCGCCCTTTCATTTTTTAATTACATTTCGGTTGCGTTTTAAAGAACGTCATCGCCTCGAGTTCGTTCGATGAAATTAAATCAACGGCTGGCAACGCGTCTTGATTTGTGTACGTGTGCGTCACACCGGTGAGTCAGTGGCTACCACACTTCCATTGAGGTAATAAAATCTGATCGACTTTTTAAATTGCCAGCCTCGATCGAACCGTAACTCCATCGAGTCGTTCGATCACTCGAAGCTCGCGCTCGTGAAAGCGACGTCCATTTGGTCCTGATTATCGCATCCCTGCAGACGGTCGTGAAATCACGCGTCTGCCTCGAGACGGCTTGTCCTACTGAGTGGAGCGGCCATTTGGCAAAGGGAGAGAATTTAATACCTGTTAATTGTCATGCGAACGCAATCCGCGAGCATGACGAGTACGTTGCAAATTGTATAATGCTTCGACGGTTTGTTCGAGAAATCTATGACTCCATGAGCCTGCGAACGATCTCTGTCGGTCCCTTTACCGAATTTTGATCGAAACAAGCGTACAAGGGGCAGTCGAACGGGCAATACAAGAAACAGAGGCGTCAATCTGCCGGGAGATTTATTTATAACACGTACACGCGTGTCTCCGTCTTGGTATATTAAACCGCTCGCATATTGACGACTCACTTGTCGTCGTTGCACGCACAAACGATCTCAATGACGAATCATGTTCTGCAATTCTGGCTTTCATCGACACCCACTACGGCACGGTCACGGATTATATAATTCGCTGACACCGAAGAAGAAGACGAAACCGAGGAAGAACGATAGAGGGTGGAAGCAGCCTATGGCCAACAAAATTGCTAAATAACCAAACTGCTCGATTCCTTTACAAAGTAATAATTAATATGCAAAGATAGGGAGGTCTTGATTCCAATCTAGATTTCCTCGAGTCCTTGCGGGAAATTAGAATCGAAGAACGCGTACGAGAATCGAGAGAGTCGCTGAACCGAGAGGAATGCGGGAATCGGAAAAGAGAGAAGAGAGTACGTGGTGCAAAGTGCCCTGAAGAATTCGACGGCCAAACGGGAATTAAAAGGGCACGAAATAGACGAGTTACGTAAGATCGAATCTTCGCCACGTGTCGGTGGATATAGCGTTCGTTCCGTATATCCTGAACTCACTTTCGTAACACGGTCGATCTATATTTCCAAAAATTCGGACCACCGATCGAGAACCTCGATGCTCTCGTGCCGGAAACGGACGAGTCTTCGATTTAATTTTCCAGAGACGTTCGCAACGGCGCGTTGCGAAGACGACTCACCTTTTCGCCTAATATACCCAGTTCAAATATTTGTGTACCGTTGAGCACGTGCAGGCTAACACGTGCTCATAAATATGACATTCCCTCTAGACCAGCGATCCTCAACCTCTTTCCCTCGATTGCCCCCTCGATCGCTTCTCTCATCGCCCATTAATTCCACTGAAAAGCATCGGAGGTAATCGGTGGATGGTGGAAAGGGGATGCAGAATTCAGGGGGATAAGAATACACGTGTCGATGTAAAAATCGTATTATCAAAGGGGGCGACGTCTCAGGATTTTACGGTTCGACCCCCCCCCCCCCCAGCCCAGGGGAATATTTGGTGAATAGAGAACGAATTTAAAAAGGTCCAACGTTGCGCCAAGAAGACGATAGAAATAATCGAAAACCTCGTCACGTTCCTCCGGAGGAATCTAGAGGGTGGAAAGACGCGAGGACGTCGGACACTTACACCAATACACGGCAACAAAATCCTTCTCGTTGAGGAGTCGCTCGAGCTGTTTCGCGTTGACTTCCTCGATGACAGGCTCCGCGTCCTTGTGAGGGCCTTTGCTACGCGGCTCGTCCGATTTCGTCTTCGCTAGGGCGTCCACGGTGCCCAGAAGGGCGCATATCACCGCGAGTACACCGAGGAGGACGATCGTCTTCGAGTATCCCGTCGGCATCGTTGACCCGCAGGTAGTACTCCTCCTTCGTCTCCGCCAGCACCACCACCACCGGCCGAACCGTACCGCCGAAACGTCGTTCGCCGTCGACATCGCCGCACTGACTGGCACACCGGCTATTTTTGATTATTCGGACAGCGCCGCAACCACGACGGCCATGCCACGCGTCACGATCATCTTCAACGGCTCTCGCACGAGGACGTAGCCGTTTTCAGTTTCCTCAAGCCACCCCCTTCGCGCGACCGATCCTCGACGAACCTGGGGGACCATTGTTCGATTCGAACCAGGGGACAGATTCATCGATAATTTCGAGAATAGCCATTGCAACGACACAATGGAGATGCTTATTAAAATTGTCAATTAACGTGGTCAATTAACCTCGCTAATTGGCTCCTAACCCTTAACTCTTTGCACTCCTGAAAAAAATTGTGACCGGAGATTCTAGAAGCCAAAACAAAACGAAAATCAAGAATAGCAATTTGTTGATGGAGGCTTCGTTAAAAAGTTATTAACGTTCAAAGTTCCAAAACAAGTGGAGAATTTTTCGGCGAAAAAAAAGTTTCAAATCGTTCTGGAAAGAATTTGTTTGGTTGCGGGTAGCGATTACAATAATTTTTGGTGCATAGACATACCCTCGAAATCCTAACCATTTTCGAGAAAAAAATTCGTGTACGTGGACAAATTTTATTAATTATTTTCAGCTTCGATCAACAAATTGGTATTCTTCATTTTCAACTTATTTCGGTCTCTAGAATCTCTCATTAAAATTTTTCCCAGGAGTGGTCGAATACGTTGTTTGTAATAACCCATTGAAAGTCTTTCCACAACGTTATAAGCTGGTATTACTCCTGTGTTAGTCCATGCGACTCACCCTGTATATAAACCAGCAGGAGGATCGGGTTAAGACAGGTAGTTGATCATTGGCTTCGGTGCAGTACGGAATATCATGACGGTCGCCGATCGAAAGTCGCGAGTTGCAATCGTGGGGGGTGGCTTGGTGCGTGGAAAAAGAAATTCTATGAATTTCTATTCGTAATTGTAAAACAGAATTTTTTTAACAGTCGGCTTTCAGGTCGGAGCTCTGGCGGCTTGTTTCTTCGCGAAGAGGGGTCACTCTGTGCTCGTATACGAATACCGTGCAGGTAAATACTACGAAAATTAATGTTCTGTACGAAGCAAAGCGATACACGCGTTGGTAAACGAGTTCTATTTCATCGACGTGATTGTCTGATACTTGGAAAGGGTAGTGGGATTTTAAATCGAGACTTCAAGACGGAGGCTAGGCGAAATAAATGGAAAACAACCTTTTTTTAGACATCAGGGTGGAGGATTCCCGAGGGCAGAGCATCGACCTGGCTTTGTCGGACAGAGGACGCGAAGCTTTGAGGGCAGTCGGCCTCGAAGAAGCTGTGGTCGATCGCCATGGTATCGCCATGCATGGTAGAATGATCCATAACAAAGACGGCACTCTCAAGGAAATTATTTACGATAGCGTAAAGGGAAACGTGAGTGGCCACAGTTTCGTCACCCGATTTCTGATTTATTTCCTCGTTAATTTCTCTTGCAGTGCATTTATTCGGTCAGCAGACGATATCTGAACGTGGTTCTGTTAAACGGTGAGCAAAATTCAAATTAATTCCCTTCCGTGAGTGTCCTTTAACATCGATGAATTATTTTAATCCGGTCTCACCTCAGAAGAACTCGAACTTTTCGATTCGACTAAAAGAAAGCGTTGCTGAATATCCGATATCGCGGTAGTGCGTGAAGCCACAAGAATTCTAACGTGTCAGATTTCTTGTCACTGCTCTCTCATGCTTCTCACAATCTTGCAGCTGAAACGTATATGTTCCAGCTGCGCTATAATAAAATACACTCGGAGTGAAAAGGTTCAAAAATTTGTATTCACGATTGCTGTAGCGAGACAACCGCAACGACAACAGAAAACAACGAATACGGAAGCGTAAACGAAAATGACCATGCTTCGCGAGGGTTAGAAACAATTTTTTAATTCGATTTTTCGACTTATTTTCGTACGTAGAATCACCCTCTATCCGATAGTAACACCCTGTATATTTTATACAAAATGTTTCTACCACGTTTAACAAATATTTGACGCTGTTTCCTGATCGATTCCCCTTTCTCTTCCAATTTTGTACCCGTCGAATAGCCGCTGAGAAATATCCGGAAGTGAGCCTCCTCTTCAATAAGAAACTGGTAGACGCGGACCTGGAAAATGGAAAGCTGAAGATCTTAGAGTAAGGCGTCCTTCGTTTCACAAACAAGCTTGTTGGCGTTGTTAGAGGTTAATCGTTAATGTTTTAGTACGATAACCGAGGCTATAGAAAACGTGGAAGTAGATTTGATCATCGGAGCGGACGGTGCATACTCGACGGTCAGGAGAATAATGACGAAGAGACCTCTCTTCGACTGCAGTCAGACGTACATCGAGCACGGCTACGTCGAGTTGTTCGTTCCTGCTGGAAAAGACAACAAGGTAGGCGTATTTTCGTCAAGGTTGAGCGTGGTCTGCTCTTCGTAAAAATATCAGCCGCCCCGTTGCATCCATAATTTACGAATACCTTTGATCGTAACGGCAAAGTTATTAGCTTTTGTTCGCCCGTTGACGCGCTCCAAACACGTTGAGCGATCTATGCCAAAACAATTGAACGTACGTATTGTTAAAGTATGCTATGAGCGGCGATCATCTTCACATCTGGCCGCGGGGAGGGTTCATGATGATAGCCTTGCCCAACGACGACTGCACTTTTACTGGAAATATATTCGCGCCCTTCGCGACCCTCGATAAATTGAAGACACCTAAGGCGCTTCTGGACTTCTACGACGAACAGTTTCCGGATCTTCTGCCTCTGATAGGCAGGGAGAAGCTGGCGAAGGATTATTTCGAGAGGCAGCCGAAGACGCTGATTTCCATCAAGGTAAATGCCGGGGATCCGCATTTGCAACGTTGATACAAACTTCTGAAGTTTTGTTTGTTTCGGTTGACGTGGAGACTGGCGATGAAGCTATTGAACGCGGCACAATTTAATTAATTAATCTGTTACGATTGTGTCGCAGTGCAAACCTTATCACGTTGGACGAACTGCTCTACTTGTCGGCGACGCTGCACACGCTATGGTGCCTTTTTATGCTCAAGGAATGAACGCTGTAAGTTGTGTTCAATCGATCGGAGGATTCCACGTTCACGGAGAAGGAGTTTCTAAAAAAAAAAAAATAATTAATAACGTATCGTGCAAATAGTATTCTATTTTAATACGTATATGCTTCGTGGAACATGTACAGGCCAAGTTAACACGAATCTCTCGACTTAAACAAGTACTTTCCGTCAGGGTTTCGAGGATCTATTGCTGCTGGACGAGCTGATGGAACGGTACGATTCAGATTTTAGCAAGGTTTTGCCGAAGTTTAGCGAACTACGCTGCGACGACGCCCACGCAATCTGCGATCTTGCTATGTACAATTACGTGGAGGTAAAATTTTTCGACGATTCCCAACGAATCTTAAATCGTAACGAATCGTAAAGTACGAAACTTTCAGATGAGAGACTTGGTGAACAGAAAGTCGTTCCATTTTCGAAAGCAATTGGATACGTTTCTTCACCGACGAATACCAAACACGTGGATACCGCTCTACAGTACTATACACTTTTCGCGAATGAAGTTCCGCGATTGCATTTCGAACAAGGAGTGGCAAGACAAGGTACAGGAAACTATATCGTTGATTGTAAGAACGTAACGACCGTGGAAATCGGTGAAAATTCAATTCTTTCTCCGCAGATATTACGCAGGACTGTTTGGTGCGCGGCGCTAATAATTTTTGCAGTGTTGCTCGTGCCCATTTTCGAGAATTACAGAAAAAAGACCGTTTTATATTAGATGCAAATGCACAATCAACAGAGAGAATCAACAAAGAGAATTTACATAATGAAACTTTGCATACATCAGCTACAGGCGTCGCTTTGTTGTAACCTTACGTAATTGGTATTTACGGTTTCTATTAAAAACATCCGATGTTTTGTGTATCCATTTTCTTTTCCTTTTATAATGTACACCTCGCCATCCTTACCCACGTATTATATTTTACAATATTTTAATCGTATTTGAGCAAGTCTCGCTTAACACTAAACCTACCGACGCTTCATATATACCCGTTCCTACCATGATTGATCAAATGATCATGTTAATTCCGAAGAAAACAATTATTCACGAAACAATGGCATAGTAACTATGCAAACACCCTGTATACAAATTTAAATTAATTTTCAATCAAATAAACAATTTATGATCCAGTTTTATAGCACTTTGGGTATGTAGCGTCAAAGTAAATTGCAAAATAAACATAGAAGACAGCATAAATTATATTAGCTTGTATAGTCATTGGATAGAGGATGAAATGCCCTTTAAAATGAGCGTTCGAACAAGTCGATAGCGTAATTAGTTCCGGAGATATAGCGATTTTAGTTTCAAGTCGATGCGGTGGCTAATTTCGGAGATATAAGGGTTGGAAGCGTTTGTTTACGTCGCGTGGTCAATGGCCGCACGTGATCGTAGTAAATAGTAAACATTACGTCACGCGGTCACTCGGTCAGTGGGTCAACGTGCGACAAGGAGGTCCGACGCGACGCGTCAGACGGAGACAGAGATAGTCGAATAAAGAAAAATTACCCCTTTACATAAATTACGATATCTCGAAAACGGAAAGTCGGATCGCCAAAAACCAAAAGCCATTTTAAAGGGGAGGCTTTGCCGCTCCTAACAGCGGCTCAATAATTAATAAAACACTAATAGTTTCGGAACTGCACTGGTCTAAAGTTTTAGTATTTTTAATACGCATTGTTAGACTGTTCTAAGACAGTGGAAACTAAAGATTCTCTCCTTTCGCCTTTGCTATACATATGTTTCCTATTTACATCTGAATTTAACTAGAATTTGGTACCGAATTTTGCCCAGTTTTTTACAAAAAAATATAAATCATTCCAACCGGTCGGACGACCGGTCGTGGTAAGTTTAGTGTTAAAGGCCTTCGCCTCATAAAATGTTATTAAACTTAACTGCTTAATGCTATCTTCTTCTATACAAATTAGCTAGGGAAATTCTCATTATGATTAAAAGAACGCGCGTGCGCGAAAACGACCTTCGTCGACGCCCTCGCGACGCGATTATAAAATCACTCAAAACGTAACAGTGTATAGAAATCGTCTGTTTTTTTGGATATCGATGAGTTCTCATCGAATCCAGAGATCCATTAAAAATCACTATTGTGTGGTAAGTAGTATCACGACATCAATTCTAGGGTCACTGAATTAGCATCTTTCACGTATTTGTGCTTGTGGTTCTCGAACAGCTCTACCAAATGCTTTATGAACCTCCCATGGTGCTCTTCGATCTGTTCCGCCGTTGGTTCTGTTATTTTCGGCAACTCCAAGGGACTACCAACTGCAACAAAAACAATCACGATGTAATGGAAGCTCAAAGTTGCTCGTATCGAAGTTTTAAAGATTCGATACTGCGAAGTATTGCAGCGTAAACTGAAGTACTCCTTTAATTTAATTCACTGGAATCTTCTCTTCGTGAATTAAGATAAACGTCTGAATTATTATTATTATTTTCATTACCAACGACAGTGATAGGTCTCCGTTGCGCGATGATACCAAACGAGTACTGGAAAAATCCACGTCCCAGCAGGAGGATCGGCGCGATTCCGATTTTATTACGGATATAGTTTTGCGCTCTCCTGAAGAGCGAGTTCTCCGGCCCGTACACCTGATCGTACACGTCCGTTTCACCGAACGAAATCACAGGCACCAGAGGTGTCCTAGAAAACAATAAAATTCCCAAATCAACGAAACAACGAAGTATCTTCCATCGTCGTGGCGCGTACCGAGACTCAACGAATTAAAATCTGAAAGTTGAATCCTCTTTGAGGAAGAAGTTAAGGCAATGACGGCTACCGAGCAACGCGAACGTTGGTTCGTTTGTTTGCCGATTAACGGAGGTGGAGAGCGTTTAGGCAGGAATCTTCGCGAGACAGATTCGAGACTGGACTTTATAATTTGTATCGTAAACATTGATAATTCTAACCCATGCTTCAGCGCGATCTTTACGAAGCCTTTTCTTCTTTTTACCAGGATACGATAAGTGCCTGGCTTACATTCCAATGATTCCGACGCTCCACCGACGATGAGGACTGTTCCTCTTCCAGTGAACGGCTCCTCGGGCTTCGTCGACAGCATATAGTTCAAACTTTCGGCGCTGCTGCTCACCGTACCTGCGTTTCGATTACGATCAAAAGACGAAATCAGAATATGTTAACGTTTTTTAATGACTGAGAACCACTCAACCGTAGCCCCCCTGCCTCGTCTCTGGACATTTAATTATATATTCAATAAAGGAGCGGCAAGTTTTCGATAATCAACGCGTCAAATTATGTTGTCAGCGTAGATTTACCAAAGCGTTAATTTGCGTTGCGACACGTACCGCTCAGATAAGCGTATTCGCGGAAGAGAGGGATTCTGAAATGTTGGTCCAGAATTACGACCCGTATGTCCAGTCCTGGAAACATCTCTCTGCAGCCGAGAACGTCCGACCCGAAAGCCCCGAAGACACCCGTGGACAGAATTCCGTGAGGGAAGCTGCAGAACAAGTAGGACCTGGACGGATCCAGATCAACGGTTTTCACCAGTCTCACGGGAAAATAGTTGCAAAAGTAATGCAACCACGCGCAGTTTCTCAGCCATCTTGTCCACCATTCCCTGAGATAAAAGAAAACCTTGATTTTAAATCTGTGGATAGAAAGGAGCTGAAATTTCGGGCAAAGTTCGAATCGTACGTACTTTCTACCGCCTCGATTGCACGTGCCCCAGTCGTAATACATCCAGACGAAATAAACCAAGACGAGATAACGCAGAGTTTCCGTGTAGAAGAGGAGATAAACGGTGAGGATGTACCCAATGAAATCCCCGAATCCTAACAGAACAATCCATATCGCCGCTGAGAGTGTTTCGAGCCTTCGTCTCAGCGGCACGTTCAACGGTGCAAATTTCACGCCCAGGATTTCCATCGTTTTCTCGAGTTGTCTCTATAGGTTTGACACGTCGTTAGAATAATCGTACACGAACAACTGCTAATATTTACTCGCGACACTTGTCGCGCGTCATTTCTACCATCGAACCGTAGAAAATAATGTTTGCGTGGCACGGTGTATGAAATGTCATTAATTTATACGTCGCGTAACATACCAATACTTAGGCTCCTTGAAAATTTTACCCATCGCGTGTGGTCTAAACTTATTCAGCACTGGCCAAGTGGTGTTAGCGGAATAGCAAACGAAGACGCAACTTATCGCGCGGCGATCGCCTTACTATTCCACATTCTTTTTCACAATGCAAACACAAGGGAGATAACAGCGATTAAATATAGCCTGCCAGTTCCTACTGACTGCTACACGTTCGATTTTAATCGATTAATACCTTGAGCCGTATTAATGGAAATGAAAGAGACCGTTTACGAGGAGGAGAGAGATATCAAGTGACAGAAGAATGGAATCGTATATTAGCGTTTGATTTATTCTGCTGTTTTAAGTTTTTATCGGTCAACTGTGGGAGAAAAAAAGACTCGTACGAGTCGCGTGACTAATTCTGCAGAGATAAGCAGAAATCTACCGCGAGCATTTCTCGTTTCGTGCCCTCGTCAGGATGTCTTTCCGTCTCGTCGACGTGCCCTTAGAACAATGCAAACGCATTATTTATAGAGGTGCACCGCTAGAAAAGAAATAGCTCGACACGGACCCGTTTAAATAACTCTTTGTCGCTCGTTCCCCTTTAACGTCCTTTGTTTTCCATCGAGTCTTCGATGTTTTAAAAATCGTGACCGCGTTTGAACTAATGGACGTACGATGGTAATTAGCGCGTTGACGGCCAGGCTAGATTCGTCTATCTAAAACTGTCCTCGAGGTTCGGTAATATTGTAACGTGGAAACTAAAAATATTCGATACTCCGACGGGGTGATTTTTATTTTAAGGTATTCTAAACGACAGTGAAGTGGAACGTCAATCAACGAAATCCCGATTAGCATGTTGATTGCCACGTCAGGTTTCCATATCTAGAAACGTCCTCGATGTTCGTTTACATTACAACGTGAAAACGAAATATTCGATACTTTGATGGAGTGCCTGCCGTTTAAAGGCACTTTAATAACAGTAAAGTGGAACGTCGACTATCCAAATGCCGACTGTTCGAAAGGCTGCTTACATAAAATACGACTCTACTTACAAAAAATGAAAGTTAAAATTAGATTTCGACTGCAATTTCTCTGAAACGCAAACTAATACCTAAACAGGGTAATTTTTGCTGATTTTTATAGTTTGTAAAAGGGTGTAAAGTGCCGGTCACCGGTGTCAGTCAACGTGTCCGAGTCAGTGAAGATCGCGTTTATCAATTGTTGAGGAGAACATCCTCGTTTCCAAACAAACACAAAGAGATACACACGCGGAGCTTGTGACTCAACTCTCGTAGATTAGAACTTGGTTTTCGCAAGATATAATAAGACTACGGTTAAACTGTCAAGGCTTACGCCTCGGTAAACGTAATTCTACTTACACGGAGTACGATCTTGATGACACGCGACGTGTTTCGGAATCAAAACACCGATAACACGCGGTATTTCGGTTACACGTGGACCGCAGCTTCAGTCGAAGGTACGTGGTTTTAACTTTCTCTTTTCAGGGAGAATTAAAATCGAACGATCGACAAAAAAACCGTCGACGCAGTATCGCGTGCATAGTCAGCATAGTTTCGACAGACATCAACAACTATCTTGCCTTAACACCGATCAACTACTTGTAAACAATAGTTCACATTCTATACCGTAAATGTAATTGTTCGTTACTTAGTCCTGAATGGCACTCGTTTAAAAATGATCGATATCAACGAGACTGCGTAATTTCGTTGACGATCGACGTAAATCGAACCGGACACCGATGACGAAACGTTTCGAAACAAATACGAAAATAAACGATCCGTGCGACAACCGCGCGCGTTGCTTTTGTAATCGTGCTTTCTTACCTGTTGCAACGAAATGCTTAGCCATTTACAGATGGACGCCTCGCCGTTTACGAAGATCCGCGTACAATGGTCTCGATCTTTCGAGACTGCTTTCTCCTCGCGTGAAATTCGGATCTAGGCTAGACACAACGGGCGAGAGAGCATCTCGGCGTCGGTAAATACAAATTCTCGGAGCGTCTAGCGAGACGCTCGGTTCGGCGTCGCGCTGCTTACTGCTGCTCGCACGGTTCGGTGTCGCGCGGATCAAACAGGAAAGACTGCGAGCGTAAATGTCGCACACGCATGTATGCCATACGCGTTTACAAACGTGGCTGAATCAATGATGAGCCAGCGAGCAGCGGTTCGTTCGCGATCGACCATCGATCCTAACAAGGAACGATCCCGCAACTTGGAAATTTAAAAAATTTTGAAACTGTGGGTACACAGAGTGTTCCGCTAAACGGAGACATTTTTTACATATAATATTCGACAGTTAATATTCCAAGTCCAGTAGTTAAAAAATTATCGTTGTACCAGTAGTAACGAAACATATTTCGTTCTGGTCAGTTATCGATACGTTTGCCTTGCCGGAGATTGGGTTTAGGGTTATGGATTTTACCTGGATGCTCAGGTAGACACGTTGGTCGATCGTCTCTCTTTAACTAGAGGAGATTAAGGGGAAACCGGACCGACCCTAGGGCTAGCTGCACGATTCGCGCCATGACACTACCAATTTTGCCTCATTTCCTTTGATAAAATAATTGCACGGTAGAACGAAACGAGGAGATCAAAGGAACCTTCGTTCCTTTTATTTCTCTTCGGGTCTTCGTTCGCGAGCACCTCTTCATGGCGGGAATCGCTTCTACGCGAGCAACCGACCTACAAACTTTCAAGACTTTCTTATATCGTATTTAATCGCTGTATCAATCTCTAATTCATAATCGTAAATGTCTAGTCAAGATTTGCATTCGCACAGTATATTAATAAACGTTAAAATTGCCAATCAACGTGTCACGTAACTTTTTAACGACCATTACATTTATTGTACTCGGAAATGACTCGAGAAACGTAAACAATGTTTTTACACCGAAAGAGAAAAGTTCAGGAAAAGAATGTTGAGAACGAATGTATCGTTTTAACAGGATTTTTCACGGACAGAAGCGTAGATAGAAAATTGCAGGAGACGCTTCTTGTTGAAATAATACGTTTATTGCTCGATCTATATAAAAAAGAAAGAAAACAGATGAAAGGGCGCGGCATCGATCGTTAGAGGCCGTGCATCGGCACGCGAGAGAAAAATATACTTCGATTAATTAGAATCTATACCATTGCGACAACAATTACAATGATTAAACCGGTATATCGTTATACATACGTATACATATAATAATGCACGTGTAGTTTCCGAAGCTTCCGTCCTCGTTACCAGCGAAAACGCGATCGCCGCGTCGACGTTCGCCTCTTGCTTATAAAAATGCTATCTATATAATGTATATAAAAAACAAACAAAAAAATCGGAAATATCTTCCTCCCTTCGTTACCAGGCGCTCAAACAGTTCTCGAAGGAAGAGTTAACGGGCATAAAAAATTTGCACGATATCGTATAAGTGTCGCAATTAATCGATCAACGCGGTAATTATAATTTGCGCCATTTTAAGAGAACGTTCCACCCTCTTAAGCAACACCGTACGGTTAATAGTTGTTAAAACGCTTGTCGTTTAATTTCAATCGCTCATATATTCTTCATATAAAATTCATTTCCAATATCGCCGTTCGGATTTAACATCTTTAACACCGCCACCGAAACAAAATCCAATGGCCGCTGTCAACGACCCTTGATTTTTCTCCCGGTCCCAGTACCGCTTTGATTAATAAAATTTTTCACTATTCCACGGAGTTTCGTAACACTTTCTTTCCACTCCAAGTGATTTAAACAATTTCGTTACAACTTAACAGTTACCGTATATAACTCATTCTCACGCAATCCGACTTTATTCATGTCCACCGGAGCGGGGGATGGTTTTGAACGAAAAAGTGAATCGTCACTTTTCCGCGCAGAATCGACATCCATACCGGTTAAAGTACTCTGTTCGTTCAATGAATCGCGATCAAAGCGGAAGCTCGGCCAAAATCTCAACGAGAAAGCACGCCAGATCGTCCAGGGCCGTGTACGACGAGAAAAGTTCGGAAAGTAAACGTGATTCCGGGGATCCTAAGGTTAACAGGCACCGATCGAAACTACCGCCGCAGCGTTTTGCAAGCTCTTCTCGTTCTGTTCGGCCGTTTTGCGATCGCGGGTCCCTAAAAGCAAGAAAACCGAATAGAAGTCGATTTCTTTCTCGAGGTCGTAGATTATCTTCTAAGCGTAAAGCCTAATGTTTGCAATCCGAAACTATCAAATCCTGGATGTCGAATCATCCCGTTTCCACATTGTCACGATCTTCGCCTCGCCTACGACATCCACTTATGTTTTACGGTTTCTCAACACCTTCCACGTTAGATCGCACGAATCCATTTAACTTTAACCGCCGCGACAAGAGCAACGTCCGTCCGGTCGTTAAAATTTCGCTCAAACGATCTGGATTTCGCGGACCACTCGTCGTTTGTCTCGAAGGAATATGAAAACTATAACAGGCGAATTTCTTTTATTATTATTTAGTCGAACATCCAAACGGACGAGTCGTTTCCACGGAATGCAGCCTGCGCGGACGATGCCTTGCGCGACGCTTCGCTACATGCTATAAACGATTGTCAGGGACGGACAGTGAGGTCGTTAAACGTAAAAAAAATGTAATAATGGACGCGATCATCGTCGCGTTAAAAGCGAACGTTGAAAATAAATCGATTTGCACCCATTGACGCGTGTTAGACAAGACTTGATCGAAATAAATCGAATTTCCTATTTGTTAGCGGAACACGCTGTATGCTATCATTAGAATAAATATGTGTTTAACGTATCCATAGTTTGGATTCCAAACGTAACGTACAATAAACGTAATAAAAACGTAATAAAAATATATATTTCAACGATCATGCGCGTACACGAGCTATTCGGTAGTAACGTTAGCACGCATCTCCGACCGAGGTACGGCCAATTAACCCATTGCCTCTCGTTCGTTGGTTCACGAATGAACGCTCGAGTTGCTTCCGGTTCGTCGCACGGTAGAGGTTGATCAACGATGGGACGCGAGTGATCCATGCGATTGTAGTGACACAGAGAAAATGAAAGAAATGGGCTAATCGACGTCGGTTATATACATATATATCAACTTTGTTTTTCTTTTTTTTTCATCTTCAAACGCTAAAAATGCTTAACAACGAGTATAACGATTCTGTCTCCCGAAATATACATCGCGAGAAAGCTCTTAAGTTTATTGCTTCATCCAATCTAGAATTGAACCGCGAGTACGACCTCGGCACCTCTCGGCCTTTAGCGCCGCAATAGTTCGCTTATCTGCCTATCGATGACGAATCGGTTCTTTTCTACAGATTCACCGAAGTTTAATGCCTCCGCTCGATCCGTTGTAATCTCTTTACAGGATTGCGTCGGTTGCAACACACCGACGACAAAAGCAGCTTCGTTTTAAACCGTACCGAGTCCCACGGGCTTTTACAACGTAACCCGCGCAAACTTTTACAGGTTTACCGGATCAAATTCGCTTTGTCGCTGACTCGAAAGCGAAACGGTATTTGCTGTTTCATTAAAATAATTCCTGTCGCTGTAAATAAAATCCGATTAATCGGGGGGTCGGATAAAATAATATTGTGAGACGATAAAAGATGATTTCAATTTAGTAACGTCAGGGTTGGATAAAAGTTTCGTTTTAAAATACTAATACGATTTTTAGGCAGTCGAATAAATGAAATTGAAACGAGGCAAGAGCGAGTCACGTTCGATTCGTTATCGATAAACACGCGAGAATGCAGCGTACACGTGTCGATCGGTTCTACGCAGCGGGTCGAAGGACACGCGATCTCAGAGTTCGCATTAATTTGCCGAAGCCGTAACGCCACGGAAGGAACCAGCCGTTCTATTATTTCCTTCTTTGCACGGGAGTTACAGGTTCTACTTGTTTTACATATCGAAAATACCGCGCTAGCGGAGGGTGGGGGGGGGGGGCGGTTGGTGGGGGACGCGACTCATTCATCAACGACGTTACATAATAAAATACGACGTACAATAATTCAAATAGACGCTCTTCGCTGTATAACGACGGATAAGAAAATAATAGAATGCGATCGTCAGTTCGTATTAAGCCGTCATTTGCTTCGGGTTCGTCGTCGTCGTCTCTTCTATTTCCATCCCGTCAACGATGAACAGTGTAATATTTACAAGAGAACGCGGGCCGAGGATCCCTGTACCGACGGCAACACGGCCACGAAAATACTGATTAATTGGTGTTTTTGGCAACCGATATACTCGCCTCGGACGAATAAGAAATTTTCTTCGTTCTCCACCGGTGGTTGGTTTTAAGTTGCCTCCATATCGTCGGTCTGTCTAATGTGTATCCCGCGTTCGGGAAGCGAGATTATCCAGCATCCGAATAACGTACGATCGAGACGCGGGACTCGCGCAGGTGAGACGGATGGGCAGTGGGTTTCTTGACTTTTCAGCGAATCAGTTCGTTAAAAATAGTCGCGCGAAGCACCGACAACGAGTACTCTTTTTTTCCCCCCTACGCGTTCCATCCATCACGAGGCACTGCGGCAAAGTAACGGCGAGCTATCATGGCGGCTCGAAGGAACCATCCGATCGTGACGGCGATCTTGCCCGATTAGCAGCCCTGTTTCTCGTCCAATAGTCGTCCAGAGTCGGTGGAATGAACGAAAGGGGCGTACGATGGGTTTACTCGAGGAACACACGCGTGTACAACCGTACCAGCATTGCACGGAACAATCGATCCGACTTGGTTCTGTCCATTGCATCGCTGCAGAGCAACCGAATCCCGTTCGAAAGTTACGTGGATGTAGACGGGGACGACACCACGGGGTCCGGTTGATAGTACCTCATGCCGTTTATCTGAAACATTTTCACAGTTTCTTCATTCAATCGATCAATCAGTTCTTCGATACCTCTGTTCGATGTTCGATGAGACTCGTGCAAGTATCGCGCTAAGTCGAAAATCCAAACTTTCTTACCGTCATATCGTATTCCGTGATGTACGCTGGGATTTCTAATTGCTCCGGCGACATGACTTCGTAGAGATACTCGACGCCGGGCAAATTGTGGACTTTCTGTTTGATGGCCGGGGCCATGAACGTCGTGAACCACCACGTCATCATCTGCAACGAACAAGGAAGGAATCGGTCAACGGCGAGCAACGATATCAGCTTGCCTGGTTTATTCCCGTCAGTTAGGCAACTCCAAGACTATTTACAAATTGCCACGCGAAAACATCTTTGCTAACCGGCGGCGGTCCGAAGGCCAGTCGATTCGATACGATCGCGAGCGCGAATTGTGCGCTTGCTCTGAAATGTAAACGTGGGAACACTTCTGCGTCTTTAAAATTGCGCTTCGACTCCATCCTTGACGATAGAAAAAAAGCTTCCGTTTCGAAACGACGCGGAATACTTCAGTTAAAGAAAATACGACAACTCTTGACCCCATTGCGCGAGGGTGTAAAATGATTTCGCGAAACGACGCTGATCGGTACGCACCTTGGTCCAGAAAGTCGGGTGGATAATGTAAAAGTGTTTTAGGTTCTTCTTATACCTGCAACAAATACGTTTCAATTATATACTGTTCAAAGATGACCAAGTAATTAGCACGAAGAAATGAAAATTCTTGCGAATCGGAGTGTACAGACGATACGATTCTCTTTAAAAAGAAACACGTTGTTTGTTTAAAAAAAAATTTTCCTCGATCTGAACCAGTTTGTCTGAAACTTCCATTGCTCTTGCATCAGACCTACGTATCTATAAATCTATATTCTCATGGCCGCAACATCGTATGACGCATAAAATAAGATAAGACGTCACTTGTTGGATCGCTCGCTTATCTGCCATATCATTTCTAAATAGAAACGAACGATGTAAATCGCTGATAGCTATCGAAGCAAAGAAAGTACTTTTAATCTCTTTGTTAATTCTTCTACAAAGATTCATTCTTTCGCTTCCGTGTACGTACGGTGTACTCTTTTCGAATAACGAACCGGTTATTACGAAAGCGGCCTAAGATTTTCATTTAGCATCGCGTCGTATCAGCTGTAATTCATTAGTATCGCGGAATGATCGTACACGCCCTAAAGTGGGTGTGTATTAAATGGTCCTGTCGAGAGGCTTGTAATTTAAGGTGTGTCTCATTAAAGAAATGCACTCTATTTCTGGCTGTCCCCATATCGCGACCTTCGTAATTATCGATTTAAATTACGCGAGTAAATGGATGATGAAGAGTTCGAGTCTCACTTGTAAGGAAGCACGTTGTAAACTTCACGCAACCAGTGCAAGCTGGGGTAGTTGTTGCTCGTCGTCAACGTATGGAAATAAGTGATAACGTAATCTCCTTTGACGATCGGATCCAGCAGCTGAATTAGATATAACAACGCCTGGAACAAAAAAGAGAGCCATTCTTGGTCAACAGTATGTTAACGAGCTGCGTCATAGCTAAATTTACGGATTGTTCGTGTCTCGAACGATCTACACGGGTTATGATTTCGCGCAGTTTCTGTACAGTCTAGTATACGTTACGTCAAACACGATTTTTATTTAATTCGGTCATAAAACGGTATCATCGAACACGCCCCAAAATGCTGCTCTGACGTTCGTAATTTCGATGCTCGTTTAGACGATTCTGAGAACCGTCTTACTCCGGATGACTATGTCGTCGTCTTCCTTTGAAAGGTCCCGGCACAGTCAGAATGATTAAGCTCCGCGATTAGTTGGCAACGCGGACAGCTAATCAGATTATTCTCGTTTCAGTATTATATGAAATGAGTCAGCGGCAAATGCGTAACAAACAAGTTTGTTATGTAGAAGGAAAGCGTACTCCGTTTTAATCGAACGCTCCGCGAACCTTTGGGTTCTCGTCCCCCGGGCAAACAGGTCGAACAATCGCGGGGAAAATCAGGTCGGAGGCCTCGCGAGCCAAAAAGAAAGCAACGTGGCGGTGGCAAAAGGGTGCTCCTAGACGAGAGGATACAGAGTTCAAGCGAAAATGGAGAGAAAAGTCTCTTTCAGGCTCCGCGAACCGATTAAGCCTTTGGAGATTTCGAAACACCGAACAGTTCAAGTTCTCGTCGGCGCTCGTTTCCCAGCGTCGTCTCTGCAAACAGGGAAACGTAATAATTGGCTGAATCATCGTTAACGTTACCGTTACCAACTACATCTGTCAGCGAACCGGAAGCATACCCCACGTTACGATGCCAATTAGCAGTGCGCTTTTTTTACACGATTGACATGTTTACGTCACGATGCACGAGAACCAAACGCGAGTAAAGTCACGACGAGCGCGAAGAGCAATTTATAATTTCGATTCAGAGGGGTTCCAAGTCGAGTAACGGACAAAACGATTCGATCGTTTTCCAATCAGCGCCTAGTTGCTCGTCCAGCGTTGTCAGCATGAGAAATCTATTTAATTCGAGCCTAACTTGCCGCAAGAATAGGGCTTGATTGGACGAGATCCGAGGTGCAACCGTAGCAGGACGTGCATAGTCGCTGTAATGTAAAATCGTTGGCTAGATATAATTTTTTAACTCGAATAAAAGTGTTTATTTCTGGCCTTTATCTGTTGCCTGCGATCGGAATAAAGTTTTGCTCCGACTCCGGTTGCTCCGATTAAGAAGAATGCAAATATTGCGAAGCAGGCGATTCAACATTTCGCAAAATCTGACGCAACGGTGTTTATTTTGTATGCACGAGTGCACATCGGATTCGCGATGTACGAACGAAAACCGCGATCTCCCGGTTTCGAGTAGGAGGAATGAAAAGAAAAAAAGATTGCATCGATCGTTCGTAGACAATATTAACGAACGACAGCCGACGCCCTTCTTGTCAAAGGAGAAATTTAACATTGATGATTTAACGACGGTATAGAATTAAGCCAGCCGTCGTGACGAGCTTCGAAATACATACATAGCCGCTATCTGTACCGCGACCCTGAAATCTCATTATCTCGACAGGTCGTTTAATTAGCGTTTGTTCGCTGAACATAAGCGATTTGATGCATCGTTTAACAAACGGGCTGCCACACGGTGTCGACGTCACGTGCAACTATTTCAACAGCGTCTTCTTTGTGATTCCGATGCGAAAAACAGATACCAGCAACTATATATTTTCGACAGCGACGGCAGCAGCTTCTGCGACGCGGTTGTAATTTTTATCTCGTTTCGTTTCAAGGCCCCGGAGGTAAATTTAGTACGCCGAGGAAATAAATGTGTAGGTACAGGCTTGTTTGGAATTCGTTGTACTTTGTATTCTCGTCTGTTGCCCACTGTTCCGTGGTCAAAAGCACGGAATCGTTAAAGTCGGAGAATTTGCATATGTTGCATATTGTTTTTGTTGCTTCGATCGTTTCTGAGAAGAGACGTGCTCGAACCGGGGATCGGAACATCCATATATTTTGTCGTATTGACATCACGCGGATAAATCAAAGTAAAAATTTTAGAGACTTTGACACCGGAGATGTAATCACGATAAAGACGTCATCAGCCACTTGTTTATAATACCATCTCTTCTATATCTGATTCGATCATTATCCGTTTTTAATCGCGATAAACAATTTAATTTGGTCTTGTTGACGCAATATAAAATTTACACGATTCTTATCGATTTTATCTTACAATAGCGGTTGACGAAACGTTGGTAATACCTCGTACGATAAGTCTAACTTTGTTAAATCGTCGTGTCGCAAGTGGACGATAATTTCACGAATTTTATTCTCTTGACAAATTAAATTAAGACAGATTAATAGAACTATAACAATAATAAAGATTACAGTTTTAAGAATTATCTACTCCGAACTGTAAGAAAGAAAGACCTTTGGAAGAGTTATCGATACCTCGAACGTCAGAGGGGGGCAGAATAACGAATCGACAGGTAGACTTCCTCGTGACAGGTGCTCGAGCATATCCTTTCGATGCAGCTTTTCACCGAATTTAAGCCGATAAATGTGTGACCTGAAATTGCTCTCGCGAGGTCAGGGGAGAATGATCGAATGCGTCCTTGAATCGCGGACAGCGACCTACTTTTCGACCAAAGAATCGCTCAATTTCTTTAACGTTGTCCCCTATATATTTTTATCGTATTACTTATGCCTATGCAAATTACCAGTTCGATCCCAATGCAATTTAACGACTAAACTTGATTCGTATATCCTTTACGGATCAGAGAATACACGATAAGTAATCTATACTACAATACACGACAAATGTTCGCAAATCTGGCGTTGATAAAATTGCAAAATAATAAAACTGAAATAAAATTCAGATACTCCCCACGAAAAAAAAAAAAACCGAAGCGAAGTTGGAATATAATAATCGATCTATCGACGGCGAGCTAGAGTATCGACGAGATCGAGGCGCGGATCTGGGCGAGGTCGAACGGGCATTTTCATTTCGTTCAGGGGCGGCTATTTCCGGCGTCGACGTTGGCGCCGGAGTTCCTTCAAAGGATGCCACGTCCGAGGGACGTAAAAAGGGTCGTGCTCGTAGGAACGGGAAGAAAGTTTTCCAGGGCGAATCGGCGGACTCGCGACAACAACGTTACAACTGGCGTACTCTCGGCTTAGGAGTTGTTCCGTGGTCGGGCTATTTCTGGACGTGTAAATATCGATTTGCCACTGGCGGTGCGCTTGCCACCAGCGAGCAAAGGGGACACGAGAGGAAGGAGCAAAGATGATATCGACACGTACGAATAATAGGATCGTGGAGCTACAAAATTTCTGACTGACAAGGATAGGAGGCCGGATCTGGAAACCCGATTTTTAATCGACGTAAAACAAACACTGCACGCCTGCTATAGGAAAACCATAGGTCCACCGAATGGACCTTCATTTTCAAGATGTAATTCTTTCAACTTTCATACGCGATAAAATAACAAATGTTAAAAAGTTCGAGAAGCGGTGCTGATCACTTTGGCTTGTAAACGGGCTCAAGTGTATCAAGAAGGGGAGCTATGGGTAAGATAATGGATTACAACGTCCCCGTTCCCCGATTATGAATTTTGTTATCGCGTTCGTCTATTGTTTTCTTTGCACGAGGAAAATTCGAGTTTTTATAATAGCTGTAAGCTTTGAACCTTGCGCCTTGGCGTCGAGAGCGCGGGTCGGTGATGCGGGTTGATCATTTGAAGGGCTATCCCTGTTCATCACGGTATCGTATGGTCAAACGGTCAAGCGGCGATCGCTATAGTGCTTCGTCCAAGAGGATTTAGCCGGGCAACCGAACAGACGACCAATACAACGAATATTCGATCGAATGAATAATTCCTACGCGCCGTTTCCGGTATCGAGTGGCTCGTTTCAACGCACCAAAGCCTGCACGGTACTTTCACGGAGATTTTGTAATTTCCCTACGAACCGTTTTAGATTCTTTCATAATTCACTTCGATCGATAAACGGTACCGATCGTAGGTTGAAATTAAAGGTATTTAAAATTTAACGTTTAAGTGTCAATCGCCGGCTAAAAATACGAACTCGATTCGAACGTTGAACGATTGCAATTAACGATAACGGATAGCCATCAAGAATGTAACAACGACCCATACAGGGATAATTTTTCTATAATTAATAACACGAGTTATTTGAGGCGATCGAGTCCCGAGACTCGTTCTATATATAGGGTCTCTCGCAGTCAAATTGTTGAAAGAGAGAAAAATCCCGAGGTTCGAATTAAATTTGAATTTCTTTCCCCCAATTTTAATTTCCATCCACCGGCGCGTCGAGCGAATATCCGCTTTAAACGGAGCTTTCCAGCTCGTCGTCGTTAAATATTTATAAGCGTTTTCATTAACGTCGAGCGTCCATAATTGATAAAATACCGTTCACGCAGATCGCGCGATAAATTCATTGATAAATTCGATTCACGGACTGATCCGCGGTTCGCTCGATTACACGCGGATGTTCTGCGAAACGTTCAAAGACTACGGGGACAGAGACGGTCAATTTCGTTCCAGAAAACCGAGCCAATTTCTTCTTCCTTCGCAGGTATGCTAAACGGATCGATCAGCTTGGAAAGAACTGCTAAACACGCTAGTTCATAATAAAAGAGTTCGTTCTGTTAACTCGCATCAGAATATCGATCTCGAACCAACGAACGAGTAAAGTTCCAACTTCCAACAATTTCTCATCGCGCCTCTATTTGCTGGAACGTCTCGCCATAAAGTAGACACTTCGCGTCTCAAAGTAACCACGAATCGTTTAACATTTACCGTACCACGAACGATTAAACGATTTCTTCGTTTGTTTTATCATTTCCGAGGCAAATATCTATCTCGTCTGAAAGTTACGTTGATTGTTATTCCCTATTTTAAATCGACTATATTATATGCTCGCGGTCGGGCAAACTGGAACTTTCATTTTAGAACCGGTCGTTTGGCACGAATACGAAGGATATAAAAGTCTCGGTATCGTTAATGTGCTCGAGAGTTCTTTAAAGCGGAATCTCACCTTGTCCAAATTGATTTTTGTGGCGGGGAACCATTTGCCGACGAACACGACCACTGGTCGGCCCTGGCGATCGACGCCGCTTTGATAGAGGCATCCGATGCCCGACACTTCGGATAGATCTTCCGTCTTCGCTCGTCTTAAAAGCCTCTCGTACCTGAAACAATTGCGAGAACTTCAATGAAACTTTAAATATACCAGCAACAACGGTCGTAGACATTTGAAATAGAAATAAAAGCAAGTTTGTCAACTTGCATCGAGTAGCGTGAACCGCGGCGTGCGATTTCCCGTAAACACACAACTTTCAGTGGAAACTTCAACGCGATATTTTCCACCCGACAAGCTGTCAACCCTCACACGATATTATTTAAACGACACGCGATAGAAATACTCGGAACTCGGGCGTGGACGTCCATGAATATTCTATTTGGATGAAATCAATGAGAACGCGCTTCACGCGCGCACCATGAAAATTTCACACATCGGTGTCGGCCCGGTTGCTATTCAACCCCTTGCCCGACAATTACCAGTCTGACTCGTAAGGTCTTTATCCACTGAGAATGATGTTCTCTCGTAAAATAAAGATATAAAATTTTTGTATGGATGAACCACTAAAATAATATACGATACTATTAAAAAGATTCTATGTCGAGCTGGACACGGTATAGGACCGCGAAAATGAAATAATAAAAATATGGTATATTGCTCGTAATTGAATCGTACGTCAAGACGGTTGATCGCTGAACAGTCAGATTTTCCTGTTGAAAACGGAGTCTCGTCGACGCTATCGACTTTCCGTCGCGTTTTTAACTTTTCTATTCCAACGAAGTTCGTTCAAGGCCGTAACAGTGACCGCGCAAGAAACGATACGCACGCGACTCTATTTATTCTTCAATCAGAACTCCAGCAACGCCGTTGACTCGTTTTCATCGTCGGGTGTCTCAACCAGAGAGACGTTGGTGAATTCTGCATCGTCGGTTTCAATCGATGTTAGCGTAACGCCAACCTAGACGTCAGCCATTCGTTACCGGTAGCGTAAAAAAAGCTATTAACCGCAGATTGGATACGCAAGAATCGAATAAAATCCATGTAAACTGGACGGTATCGTCTACGCAGCTCGTTATAATTATTGCTTGTACGTTTCCGTTTAAAACGTCTGATTTCTTATCGTTAATGACCGTTCGCATTACCGCAGGCCGGTTATTTTCATTCACTTTTCGTTTTTTTTTTTTATATTTTTACTCTGGCTTTATCGCGCAATAATTCTTCTAATTCGCTTTATAGATCGCTAATTTGTTTGTGAAATGTAAACGATGCAGGTGCGGCCGGACTTTTAATCGTTAGTCTACGTGGTAAAGATAAGAGACTATTACTTTAATTACTATGCTCGCGTATATCGATGTCTTGTTAGCGATATCATGACCCCTCTTATGTTTATCGCGTAGTAGTAAAAATTTTTACGTAAATAACAAAGACGCCTTTAAAAGTTTTAATTGGAAATTTCCTTTTCCATAATGATTATTACATTAATTTAGTGGTACCTTCTTCTCGGAGAATTTCTTTAACACGATAGATCACGTGAATATATTCGTGTAAAGAATACATTTGAGGCACTGAGAATTACAGTAACGTAAGACTGACATCATGTTTTCTTTAGCATCGTAGTAGAGGAAGTCGAAAGCAAAACCGAAGAAGATAAAAATCCTAAAATGCGGAGTTTATTCTAAACAGATCGAATTGGGTTAGATTTGTAAAACAGCCTAGTTCGCTGAACCTCGCCCTTTCACCCTGCTCGGTGTACTACGTACGTACATTACTTTTACTTTATTCGTTGAATATAATCGTTAAATAAAAGCACGATTTTCACTAAATCTGGCATTGTGATTTTAATTTATAAATTTGGACTCGTTTTTCAAGCGAAACGCGTTGAAGTTGCATTTTCGGAGAATCCGAATCCTTGTTCAAACATACATAATTCGCGACGAACAAATATTTACACAAGGAAGAACGATATTTGTACGCGAGAATCATGACCGAATTAGTCTAACGAGTCATTCGTACGTTTCCCTTAGAAGATACGTCGAGGTACGTGCTTGCTAAAATAAATGAAACTCAATAAAAGAAGCAAAGACGCCGATGGATAAGAAACAATGAGACGAATTCTCGATTCGAATATTCCAACGCGCAGTGGAAGCTAGCGTAAAGTGGCATCGATCAGGGCAAAACTAGCAACGCATCGTGAAACACGTACAAGCGTACACCGACCAACCAGGATCGGGAGTTTTCGTTGATAATAAATTCAGGGAAAAAAAATCTGTTTGTTGGACGGCCACCAAATCGGGAGCAGTGTGGACCGAAGGACGAAAAACAAAACTGGGCGTTGTACCAAAAAAAGGAACAACGTTTCCGTGTCCTCGGTTTAACGCGTAAACGCGTCGTCGAGATTTCGAGCATCGTCCTTCGAGACGAAATTCCGGGGACGCGAAACGGTTCTGTACACACGGCTGGACGTATCCAGCAGGCGTCGATCACGGAACATTTACGTAATGCGAGAATATAGAGTCACGGCAGGCGAATTCCGGGTGTCGAAAGGACGAGAAACGACGGTACGAACGGTCGAACCAGTCTTCTTCGATACGCACCGGTCCTCGTCTTCGATCACGTCCACCATGTCGATCATGACCATGCTGACAGCGTTACAGCCTCCGGGTGAGAAAATGGGACTCTCGGAGCGCGGGAACAAAATCTCTTCACCACCGAGATGATCTCTGCACGATCGCCAGTGACATCACAGTCCAGGACACCCGGTGATACGGAACTCGATACCGTGGATCGACCCGAATATTTCCAACTAGACTTGTTTCCGTTCGCTGTCCAACCGAGTGAACACAAAACGTACAAAGTCGCGTATCTGGTTTGGAAGAGGAACGCGATTCGACGCGACGATCATTCGCGAGCAACCGCAACGCACTGAGCCGTCCGATAGAGGAAGACGAGGCGACGAGGCGCGGACGGACGACGTCGGGACGCAGCGTCTTCGTCGAGTTCGTGGGCGCGCGCCTACGCTCTCTGGCTGCGTCACGGCGCCTGCTCGCTCAGGGTACTACGTGTTCGATGAGTAAAAACCCACGGGGAAGGGGTAGAAGAGCAGGGGCGCGATTTGCGGGCCGGTTATTACGTACGATTCTCGAGGCGTCGAGTAATTGCGGGAAGAGAATATCGTTCGTCCGCCGTAAAAGGATCGATAGAGGGGTGTATTTCCAAGTCGCGACGACGAGCACGTGAATCTTCTCGCCATGAAATTTCCCTGAATCGATGCCGGGTAGCGTGGTGCGCGTTTTACGCTCCAACCACGGAGTCGGGCAAATTTTATTCACCGAACGCTTTTAGATTGATTCATAAACTTTTACGTTCGATCTGTGAATTTTTTTTTTTTCAAGCAATATTCGAACGAGCTATATAATTTCAAACGAATCGTCAAAATGCGTGGTACGAGCTCCACGCAAGTATATTTAGAATCGGGGATATTTTTAAGTCGATTCGAACGTTTAATTTCATACCATTGACTAATCGCGGAATTATTCTTTGTCTTCTGGCTTTCTAGCGTAACTTTGCCAACGCTTCCCGGATCTTAGAAAGTAATAAACATGTCTAACGTGCTTTCTAACCGACGCTTATGTTATTATTACTCGCGGTAACTTCTTAATTTGATCGAAGCTTTTAAAGGAGCTTCGATGAAACGACTGGTTTCGTGACGGGCGAAGGCGCGGTCATGATTGCGGTTTTAATAAAATAGTAATTCCCAGAATGGCTAAGGTTGATGGCGACCACGCGTGGGACCTCGAACGTCATCTAACCATGATTTTGCGACCATGGCCTGGATTCAAAGTGCTATTTTGGCGAAATAATCGAGGTCTAGAAACTAGGGGAAGAGAATCGAGAGACTAAATCCCCCACTCGTTAGATGCCATCGTTACGTTCATTGAATCCTACTGCATCTTGTGCATACGTGAAAAATAAATAAAATCCTTAATACTCGTTGGGAAAACAACCGATATACTTGTATTTTCAAAACATTTAAACGTAAAGTTTTCAAACGAACGCCCTGTGTATGAAAACACGCCGTCAAGCGGCGCCAGATGCTACCGTCATCGGCAGACGTCAAAACTAATGTTTACTAATGCTTTATGCGGGAAATAAACGACGTGCATCCGGTGCGAACGACGTACGAGCGTTTTGAAAAACAGCCCTGGACGCGATGCAATCGGAAATTATATTCAGTTTGTCCCGAGGGCGTATTCTTGCTTGCCCTCGTTGGAGCATGCAGACCGTTTTGCACGAGAATTTCTACGATGTCAGTCTGATTTCATCGCGATAAAACGCTTTGACGTCGAAAATTCTCGAAAGGCGAGGTGCTTCTCATCTTTAACATAGCAAGTCACGATCGAGAGCGTGTGGCTGATTTCTATGACGCAATGTCGGCCTATTCGATCGTGCTATTGATTCCTAGACTTTGGTTAGGGGCAGACACAGAATGTCCCATCGCGATCGAGATAATTTATTTCGTTATCGGACGTTGCGTGATTTTCGTTTATTTTTATTCGCGTTGCGCTATTCTCGAGACACATAGACGAACCCACGAGCGTTCGAAAGGTTACGAGGCCATTTCGATCGATGACATTATTGACGAGGACTGCATATAAAGCTGGCTAATATTTTCGATTAGTTAACGCAACAGAAATTAATGAATTATTAAGAGAACGATATTCTAATTAAAACTGGACGACAATGAATGCAATTTAGTTAAAAAAAAAAATATAGAATTTATAAACTATCGCGATGGGACAAATGTGTAAATCTTGACTACTATGATGAAAAGTAACATTTAGTATAACGTTCAGGATGCGTACTTTGATAGTTGTGTAAGTTTCAATAAAAAAATTTGACGTAACAGTAAACCCTACTTTGTTATCGTATGTACGTTGCTTGTAAGTTTTATACAAATTGTTTAAACGATAGCGTGTAAATAGTACCACGGACGAGGTACGCAATGGACCTATCATTCAATGAAAGAATGAATCGACCCTCGACCATTTCAGTATCAAAGGTAGCGTTATCGATTCAAAATGGAATCAGACCGCAGCGCCAATGGCGGTAAGAATTAAAAGTAACGGTTGACAAATATTGATTTGTATATAACATAAATAACCGATGGAACTTGAATTTAATGTATCTTCTTTTGGGTCTCCTTACGCAGCAACCTCCTCGTGGTGAGACCTGGTAATCGGTGTTATCCGCGAGGAAAAATATTTCATCGTGGGTAGCACCGAGCTAATGACTGCGAATTTAAAATAGTTTATTAATAATAGCAACCCTGTACATCATGCAAGGGAAGACTTTCCTACGTTTGATAATTTTATTGATTTCGGTAGTTCGACTGGTCATAGTTCTCAAGATCAACGAAGAGGTCACTCGAGGACCATTGGTTTTTTACCAGGTCGGTAATTCAGTTCGAATGACACTGGCTTCCATATGATGGACAGTCTATCCTATACCTCGTTTGTGGTGTGGGTGTATATAATATGTATCATAGAATATTAATAAGTCAATGTGCCCTTCATAGACGAAACAGCGCGTAGATCTCGTAGCGGCATTTACGTACAGAAATAGCACAGCCCGTGTTTAAATAGTTAGAAATAGCAGTATGACGTGCAGGAACGACGTTGATGTCGAACGAGTTGGCATTGAATGCATTGCATGAATGAAAATTTATATATTTTACTAAACGATCGTTTTTCTCGTGAAAATACGCGTAAAATGATAGTATCTGAATCAGTAAATAATTTGATTTGTATCTACCGATTCTAATGATTTCGATATATCGATATGCTTACCGCTACTCGCTTAGCGATGTTTCAATATTTCGATTTGAATTACAATCGGAATTTTCCTGAAGTCGAGAAAAATAAAAACGATACCTTTCCTTTTGCTGCATTTGTTTTAACATGATATCCGCTAACGGGTCGGCGGGTGGTCTTTCTCCGAGGAGTCTTTGTCGGTCTAAATCGCCCTGCATCTGTGCAAAAGCATGCTCGCCGATGTTTACAGATGTCTCTAGTTGGGCGGACAATTCTACGCTCTCGTCGCCTGTAAGAAAGAAATAAACGCGGACGTAGATTTTTGTTTGCAATGGTAAAAGGAACGTATCAAGCTCGGTTGGTGTCGTTACCGTGCAAAGCATGTTGAGGATTGTCGATGATTCTAATTTGCCTGTCAGGCAGCAAAGGTTCTCCATCCATCCCGCCTATGTCGTTTGGCAACTGCCAACAAGCATTGTCTTGCTCTGCTAAATTTCTAGGGAAATAAAGAGGAAGAAGAACTTCGTAGATTCCAAGATCGCACGGCTCCAGGACAAATACGATGCACGTTACGGAATCACCGTATTGTTCCAAGAATCTTCTTATTGTTCCTATCGAAACAAAGAACGGAAAGCTATAATTGAATCTACGTTAAACCTCGAATTAACTTTAAAGGTTATATTAATTTAGAATTACGTATACTTACTGAGAGCGATGTGCGCTCCCGCATCAGGAGGATAATTTCTTCGCACGGAATTAATTACTGGCAACGCGATTATACGTAGTCCAAGTTCCCTTGCTTTTTGTAAAACATTCCTACAACAGGCAACGAACGAATATTAAATAGTTCGAACATAAGCGACGCATATTTCGATAAAAAAAAAACACATACCTGTAGCAACAATGTAACGTATTTTGGGCAGCTGTTTGGTACTTTACGTTGTATACGGGTCCAACAGTGTGAATAATAAAACGCGCAGGTAATCCATGCCCTTGTGTCAGTCTTATCTCACCAGTTTTACATTCTGCAAATTATTACTACCGTGAAATAAACAAACAATCGAACCGTTTCTTTCTTTATTCGTTTATTTACAAAAATTCGAGTATAATTTAATGTACAAGAAGGAAGCAACTCCTGAGTTCGATCCGCACCTTTTACTTCGTTAAATATTTCCATTTTAAGAGCCGAACCAGCCCGAGCAAATATTCTTTGGCACATAGGACTGTTGTCATCCATCGTTTCGTTGGTGGAATTCACTACAGCATCGACTTGTAAAACAGAAATATCACCAGTCCTGAAACAGAATGCCGTTACAATGCTATGCCAAGCAACGGAGTAAAGTCTTTTCGTTAGATTGTTTTTACCATAGTGCAAGTTTATTGTTAAGCGCCGGTTGACACGGAAAGGGACTTATGGTATGATGCGACGGTTCCCCAATGGAATTGGAGTAGTCTGTAAATCTGTGCTGGATGGGGAAGTCGGCCCATCTCTTCAATGTGCCCGTCTCCACCACATCCGGGGTGACACCCAAAGGTTCCATGAGCCTCATTCAGCTGCAACAAAAAATTCTCCGTCATTTACATCCTCCAAAGTTGATTGTATTCGCAAGACACTGTAAGGGAATTCTAACCTCACTTTTCGGTCAACTAACCTTCAAAACGATCTTAGGTAAACTTTCCATGAGTGGCTCAACTTATTCACAAAATATTCCCGTTATTTCTATTATCTATCCCCCTTTCTACATCGTTTCTCATTGGGATCGAATTCACCTTTTCATTCATCCACGCGAAACATCGTCTGACAGTTGACGCAGAAACGCAAAGCAACGCTAAAATGGCGCGAACTTCAAGCTACATCCATAGGTGCCACGTGTTCTGCCGTTCTAATAAAACGAATACAGGGGCGATACGCGCGCGTTGATATATTTTTAATCGTAACGAAACTATAAAAGGGAATCGTAAAGGCGATGGTTTGGATTTATCGCGTCCATCCAACGCCAAAAGAATCCAAGGACGGCGGAGCTGCTTCGAGAGCCAGGGATGACACAGTCGCTGACGCGAGCTATCTCCGATATCGCGGAAACCTAAAAATAAACAATTCTATCGATGGAAATCTGGGGCGCACCCCGGGCTAACGAGAAAGCGTCTGTCCAAGGACGTAACCCCGATATCGGGAGTTTCGAAAAACAACGTAATTCGTGAAAGATCGCGTCGTTCTGCGCGCGTGCAGTCACGTGCCGCGCGTTAACGTTCGATTGTGTGCGAATCACGTGCAAAGGATCCGTGTCCGTGTTGGATAGAATGTAGGCTTCCCTAATGGCAAGGAGACAGAGCTTGGCGCCGTCTGTCCTCCCGCGAAACTTATGTCCTGGCAACCCCATAAAGAACAGGATCGTCGACCCCGACGCGTTACTAGGTCCCTCCAATCCTTTTAAACGGCGAATCTATTCGACCACCTGAGGTTTCAGGCATCGTACACTCTTCACTGGGCATTTTTGACCAAAATTAAACAGTCTCGAGATTTCTCGAGAGGCTCAAGACAAAGAGATCGAACGTATCAATTATTGCGATGTGTTTCTTTTATCTTGCATATCCTGCTATCTTCGATATTTTTGCCGATACGAAAAAGTATGTCGCGATAAATTTGTTTGGCTCAAAAGTCGTGGCCAATTTCCTTTGTTGTTCAAATCATGGTGAACTTATTTAAGTTCCAGCATTCTCTCTTACTGGAATTGCACGCTACGAGCTATTTTGCATAACCTTAAGATCACGAGACTCCGAAGAGAAGTTTACGCGTATCATTATCGAGATCCAGCACGAGAAACACAAGGAATTTGAGAACACTTGAGAGCATAAACTTAGAATGCAGAATGCATAGCGAACTATCCAATCTGCGTTCATATTTTTTCTTTCCAAGTTTCTTCAGATCTCCTTCCTTCGCAACATCGAAACTTCTTTTGAGATATTTGTATTATAAATGGAAGAAAATAGAGACACGAGCGGAAGAAAAATAGATAAAACTGCAAGGTATACCTGTCGTTTGCGTCGATCAATACACCAAATAATAATAGTAAAACAACTATAGCTCGTTCGCGTTGAGCAACGTAAAACTGTACAATGAAATAAAGTAGTATTCTTACAATTTACTCCTCTTCGAGTTATAAGCCTTGAAGTATATGGAACAAGATACTCATCGATCGCATAAATGAATTATAATGTTTACCCAACAAAGTTCTTAGTACTATCGCGTGCGAAGAATACATCCGGAATAATCGATCGTAAAGGAAAACATTGTTTAAAAAAGAAACTTATCCATTTTAAATATCGTGCAATGTTGCACGCTTTAGTGCCATGTCGGTCACCGGTGACCAACACTGTTTAAATCTTTTCTACGTCTTCTTCCCGGAAAGAAACTTACCGTCATTATACCGTGACACCTGGAAACCATACAACTGTTGCAAGAAACGTTCATCCTACATATATCCCTTATGGATTACTATTTTCTTCCACCGAAGGGTTGTTCTCGTTATAATGTCAAGCAAACGTCGACGTCGAACGTCGTGATTCCTGGTCCGATGGAAAAAATACGCTCCAACATGGAACGAAAGTTATAAAGTACTGTGTTATAACTTTTGCTCATTGGCGTGTACTTAACAGCGATGAAGGGATAAATTACCCTCGTGACATCGATCAACGGTGTCATTTAACTCCTTTACACGTGGTACGCGACAGGAAATGCAGATTGAGTAATTGATAAGTAGCCTTGTCGCGCACAATGGGCCGGAATTGAATTTTAGTTGCTCAAACTCACGAAACGTTATTTTGCATTTTTATTAATACAAGATATCATTGTTTCGACGCATAGATATCAGCGACCAGAGGGAACAAACTGTTAGATTGGATATTTTAAGGGGTCGAGTCGCAGAATTTAGTTACGCGCTGGTTCCTTCGAAAAAAAGTATTGGTCGCTTAATGCACGACGACGATGATTCTCGTCTCTTTGTCCATGGGGTAGAATTCTCTTTTTTACTGTATGAAAGAGCGCTCGCGCGGAAGGCCCGCGGTTGGAGAAGAGAAACGGGACACGAAGTTAACTCGCAAATGTTCACCTTGTTCGAATGTGGAACATCGATTGACCGGTGAGCCGTGTGTGAGGTCGTTTGTTGTTTAATAGAAAGGCGGTTGGGGTTCTGGACGGGTGGGCAGATGAAACAAAGCTCCCGTCTGAAAGCTTCGCTTCGGCGACGCGGCTAAATGAGAGTCCGACTCGTTCGGTAGCTCCGGTAGCTGCCAGCCTTCGACAGTTTTCGAACACGATTCTTCCTTAACCTTTCGCGGGCTTAGGTAATGTTTAAAACAATGCGCAAGAAGTAAGTTTCTAAAGGAAGAAAGAACTTTTCTGAACAGCCTAACGCGTCTCTAGTTTGAGAATTCGCCTCGGTACGATCGCTCGATATCGCGACGAATCATGAAAAATAAAAGGAAGAAAGATACGGTGAGCGAAGTTTGTCGTAGGCCGCTCGCGCGAAATGCAATTTCTCTAACAACTTTTGTTTGACAGTGATTGATCAGAGTTTGCAGAGAACGTACGAAGATCGCTTTCGAGTTCGAGTGCAACTTCGAGGACAGTGGTGTCAATTGTAAATTGACCGGTTTTTAAGCTTCGTGCTTGGAATAGCTAAATTAATTTTAACTGCTAGAATCGTGTCTCACCCTCGCCTGGGAGGGTGACAAGGTAAATTCTCAAACTCTTTACGAGACTTTCTCGCGACTAGAAATTGAAGGAGACACTTGGATTCGCACTCTTATAAATTGTATATCTCGCAAACGGCAGAGAGTTCGTGCACTACGATTAGAGAAAGAGTCTCTCAAGATCTCCGGACGTCGGTTTGCATAACCCAATTGGTTATGACACGTTGTCTGGGAAGCTATGCCTGATACGCCGTTCATTTGCAAGAAAGTGCCGGATACTAGAAACGCGAACGTGCTGCATAGATCGAAATATCCTGTAAATATTCTACGCGCAAAGTAGCTTCGAATTGTAACCAAGTGTGATGTTTTTTAGTTTGTAAATCAGTCCGTATAGGATTACGCACGTTAGACGTATCGCAATACGCTTTTCATAACAAGTGTTCAAAATAATGGCAATTCATTTGAATGCACGCTTCTATATGCGACAGGTGGCATTTACGACGGCGACAAATCAAGTAAGCAAAGCGGAGTATGTATGGAAAGCGTACGTAACGTTACAAGGTATTTCTACTTATTGTTACGGAAGAAAATTCGATATCCCTGAAACGGTTAATTTCTGGACATACAGAGTATAGGAGATTAAGAGGATGAAAAGTACCCTAAAACTCCGTGAAGTTTGTACTTACGATTCATGGTGTTTCTGTGTAACATGCACAAGTTTCAATCGTTCTCAACGACCAGTAACACACACACGCGCGCGCGAATTTCTAACGACTGGCAAAGTGTTAAATTCCTCTGTTTTGATAGGAAGAATAACAGATTGCGGAACGATTTAACGATACGAACGCGAAAGCGTTTGTGGGACGTTTGGAGCGGCGGTGTCGAGGAGTGATGACCCACCAGTGACCCACAATGGGGATGATCGAACACGTTAGGCGCGGTAGAGACGAATGCACCGAGGGAAGCCTTTTCGATATGCAGCGTTCTGTAACGCGGGGCTTCCAAACAAATCCTTTGTGACCGGTTTCTGACCGCCGACGAAGCGAAAACAGCTGGCTCGAAGAAAAAATAAAGGGAAAAGAGGATCTCCGGATTCCGTTCCACTCGACCTATTAATTGCGTTATAGAAACTTGGCCGGAATAATATTGCAGAGTTTCCTGATATCGAAAAACGGGGTTAAAACGCCAAGCAGATGATCTACGGACGTTATCAATGGCTTCCCCGGACGTTGACGCGGATATCGCGTGTTTTCACGAGCAAAATTAAGAACCGTTGACGCTGTACTACGTTCTTTCACGAACAACAGCCGAGAGCTCTTGACACGGAACCGTGTCTTTTCATTAGACGCTAAGAGCCCTGCTGGAACGTCTTTTGTCGAGGACCGGAGATCTTATCGGTCAAGTATCATACGTCGCCAGTTGGTTAGAAGGCGTGATTGCTAACTTTACCTCAAAACATTTACGGAATCGTGCAATCTTCGGGGACCCATTTATCGCTACGATCAGAACTCCGTTCGATTTCGTTTCTCGCGAGCGATGGAAGAGACGATCAAGAGTATCATGTAATTCTATATAAAATATACGCGTACAATTCGCACACGTCACATTTAGCGTTGGAAATATCAAATTGAAACGACAACTCGAGGAATCGTCGGGTTATCTCTTCCGAGGTGCGGTGTACCCGGTGAGACAATAACGCGTGTTGATTCCTCGTCCATTTGCACACCGATAAAAACGAACTGCACACCTAGTTCGTCGCCTTCGTGGCCGCGTTTTATCGATACGTGGGCAAGTATACGGGCCTTTATTGGTCCCCGCGGGGAAGTGGTTTCGAACAAAGCGTTCGCCAGAGAGAGCCGTGC